TAGCCTAACCTAACCTCCTCGCGCCCGGGGGGCTCATTTCCTGGCCATTTTCCTTGTTTCTGGCCAGGAGTCGACCCGGGCTGCAGCGCGTCGAGGAGGTGGACTTGACCCGACCTGCACGCGTGCAATACGGGAGACCAAGACCCGTAAAGCGGGACCGAGTTCTGACCTCTCCGGTGTCAGGAGCAGCTGACAGCCGTGTGGCGAGCGCGCTGGGGTATGGACCGGAAACCGTTGGACCCGGGGAACGAATCCTGTTGGGTGTCAACTTTTTTTTCGGGACCTGCTGAGTAGGTGGTGAAGTCGACCTCCTTACATTGCTGCAGACCTAGTCGGATTCACACAAACGTTTTGTCAGGAGTTTCAATTTTCTTAAAAGAAAAACTTAAATAAATCAAGGGGTTTCGATCCCCAGGCCGACGGTGTCCGGACCACACACCAGCGCGCTCGCCACTCGGCTGTCAGTTGCTCCTTCCACCGGAGAGGTCAGAACTCGGTCCCGCTTTACGGGTCTTGGTCTCCCGTATTGCACGCGTGCAGGTCGGCTCAAGTCCACCTCCTCGACGCGCTGCAGCCCGGGTCGAATTCTGGCCAAAAACACGGAACAAGGACCATAAATGGACCTAACCTAACCCCCGCGCGCCCAGGGGGCTCTTTTAGAGGCCATTTTCCGTGTTTCGGGCCAACAGCCGACCCGGGCTGCAGCGCGTCGAGGAGGTGGACTTGACCCGACCTGCACGCGTGCAATACGGGAGACCAAGACCCGTAAGGCGGGACCGAGTTCTGACCTCTCCGGTATCAGGAGCAGCTGACAGCCGTGTGGCGAGCGCGCTGGGGAACGGACCGGAAACCGTCGGACCTTGGGAACGAATCCTGTTGGGTGTCAACTTTTTTTTCGGGACCTGCTGAGTAGGTGGTGAAGTCGACCTCCTTACCTTGCTGCAGACCTAGTCGGACTCACACAAACGTTTTGTCAGGAGTGTCAATTTTCTTAAAAGAAAAACTTAAATAAATCAAGGGGATTCGATCCCCAAGCCGACGGTGTCCGGACCACACACCAGCGCGCTCGCCACTCGGCTGTCAGTTGCTCCTCCCACCGGAGGAGCAACAGCAAGTTCTCCTCCAAGCGAAATGCGCACCTCAGCTGTCGGTGACGCACGAAGACACATCGCCAGCAGAGCAGGTAAAACGTTCCGTGGACGGGATTCGAACCAGCGACTATTACGGCACTCTGCCAACGAATACCCTTTAGCACGCTCGACTGCCAGCACGTCCTACTCGGTTGAAGTTCTCAGCTCGGTCCCGCCTGACGGGAGACAAGACGCGACAGAAAAATAGTTTGCCCCGGCCGGTAGTCGATCGCAGGGCCGACAGTAGGGGTTCGGCCGTGTCGATTTTAGCTACATCTCTGTAGCTCCAAAGAGGGGGTGTGTGGCTGGAGGCGTCGGATTTTACATTTATCCCTAAAAGGGACCTTCCATAGTCGGGTCTGATTAAGCTGACTCCTGCAGCTGAATTGTATCTATGTGGCCACAAACGGGGACGTCCATAACACTGACCCATCCGCCGTTGTCAGCGATCCAAGGAGCCAAGTCGTCTTCGAGCAGCTGGCCGACGGCCGCCACCAGGGCGTGGAGGTACTCGGGGTGGCCCTGGCGGACGCAGTCCACGGCGAGCGCGCCCGCCACCGCGTAGAGCGAGATCACCTTGCCCCAGGTCACGTCGTGCTTCAGGAGGTCCCTGCGCAGAGAGCATCAGGGTGCGGTAAAGTTAGCGTTTCTGCTTTCGGCTTCATTTTCTTTAACCTCCACGGACAGGCTGCGCTGACGCTGCGCTGCTCTGACTGACTGACCTGCCAACGGCGGTGAGTGCGGAGGCCGCCGTCTTGTCGGAGACGATGGGCCCCGCGGCGGCCTGTCTGGCAACGCCGGTGTACACCTTGGGGTGCCGCCGCTCCAGCTCCAGCCCCACGGCGTTGAGCTCGGAGAACACCTCCCGGAGCACGCCGCCCGCCGCGCCCGCCGACAGGCCCTGGGGCGCGTTGAGCGCGGCCGCCGACCGGAGCCGCTGCAGGCCGCACTTCCGGTCGAACAGACCCGCGCGCTTGAGCCGCGACCGGATGTACTGGCCGCACAGCGCCTTGCCCTGCCCGACGATCTCCTGTGAGGACGGGCGAGAGGGATGTCAGAGGGGGACACTCTTGGCTTATGGGTGGCATGCTATAAAGACGCAAAGGGCTGAGCAAGTAAAGGCGCTCGCGCTACTGACCACTATCTTGGAGTGCGCGGGAACCGTCCGCCAGCCGATAGTGCTGGACAGCTTCCTGGACACGGCGTCGCTGACGTTGCTGAAGCGGCGCCGCGGCGCCATGGCCGCCATGTGCGCGAGCGCGAGCGCGTGGTGGTCGCTGTGGCCCAGCAGCGCCGCGGGGGTGCTCATCTTGCGCCGCGACCTGCAAAGGCGAAGCGCGGCCGAAGCCAACCGGTCAGGTGTGTTTGGAGGTCGTTGCCATACCACGTGACTTGTAGGGGTAGGCTGGGGTCCTGTGGACGCTGCTGGTCCTGATCCTTTTGGGACCCCACAATACTTGCATCCCCCCTAAAGGGTACGTAGTGTGTCGCGTTCCCCGCCCCCTCTGCACGCACGCACCTGAGGCCGTTGCCAGGGGTGGGGACCAGCCCCAGTCCACTGAGCGCGTCCCCGGGCATGGTCGCGGAGTCGTCGTCGTCCACCTGCTGCTTGCGCTCCCGCTGGTTGTCAGCCTCCTCCTGGACGACGTCAAGATCGTCCTGACCTACGTTCTGCTGCTGCTGCTGCTGATCGCCATGCTCCGGTTCCGGGGGCCCGGCGGCAGGGCTGCCCACATCTGTCGTGCGAAAAACACAAATTAAGGTGAGCAGTTAAACACAAACACGCACCATGTTCCGCTCACACACACACTCACACACTCACTCACTCACACACACTCACACACACACACACACACACACCACGATGACTCAGATAGTCTATTTAACTGTTCGAGTGCAAGGGCAGACGGTGCCAGCTGTCCGGCTGATAAGCCGCCCCTCCTATCTTCCCGCGCATCCCCCCTACCACCGTGACCCACCCTACCACCCCACCCACGCCAGCAGGGACTTTTCGACTCTGTTTTGACCGACAGAGTGACTGCCGTGTCGCTTCTCCCCTTATCACTCCGCTGATAGTAAAACGGACGTGTGCGACGCTTTCACCTTTCTCCTCCTCCAGCATGCCTGCGCCCCTCCTTACGCACCTCGAGGTGCTGCCCGCGAGGGACTATACTACCCCCCGCCGCGCCCCCAGCCCGCCTCGGCAACAAGACCCGCCGCCCGACCTTTGACCTCTGATTCGATGATGGTGAAATCCGACTCACTCGTGCCTCCCCGCCAAGAGCAAGAAGTCGCGCAACAAGCAACTTCACATACGTACGTAGTACGTGTTCGACGACTTCTGACCGATAGGGCCCCGCAAACATTATTGGCGTTTGTTTCCCCCTGCTTTATTTTCCGCTGCTGTGTGTGACATCTTATGCAGCTTCGTGCAGAGAGAGAGAGAGAGAGAGAGAGAGCGATCAGGACTACGAGCCTCGAGTGCCCATTCCCCCCACTCCCGCCCGGGCCACGAGGGGTTCTCGCCATTAATCTACTGTCTGAAAACGAGCGGCTTTCCAGCGGGAATATGGGTGGCGAGCGCGCCTAAATGGGGCGAAACGGAAGAAGCCTGCATAGATTAGAGGTGGAGGGGGAGGGGGCGGCTGGGGGACATATACCGCCCGGGGCACGACAAAGAACTAGGTAGTACTGTGATAAGAATTGGTCGGAAAACGGGAGGGGGAGGGGTGGAGTTGCGTCTTCCGGGAGGGACACGATGACCCACTGTGCGTGGGCGGGACGGTCTTCGCGCGCGCAAAACAAAACAAAAAACCCAAGCCGCAGCCTCAAAGTTCATTTACGTCACACGATATACTGCAGTGCAATCCAACGATGTGGGTTTCTACAGCTGTATTACTTCTGATCCCTATTGCCTATCGGCATTCCCCCTGGGAGTAGGCAACCCGTTGGCATGCAAGATGTGCTGTGCAGTCTAACCGGCAGGAGTGCAGGGCGCATAAGCTCACGCCCACGTTTAACGGAGGTAGAAGAAGAGCGGGTAGAACCTTAATGTTACCGATTGGCCGAGAGCTTCCCGCTTCTACGTCACGCCGGTAGTGGGGGTAAGCGCTCGGCCAATCAGGAACCCTTATGTTCTACCTGCTATTCTTCTTCCTCGGTTAGTCGAAATACACTGTATCATAATTCTAGAGACAACCAGCTGAAAGATACACCATTGCGCCCCGCACTATTAAAGTATTTGCTAGCATTTTTAATCCCATACGAAGGAGGCGGAACTTAATTCACCCAGCGCACTTTTGCAGTCACACTGTACCGCATGCAGGGGTGTGGGTGGGTTGCCTGCCTATCAGATCGGGGTGTAAATCGCCGTAGTCAGTGACGATAGGCAAACACGCACGCACGCCTGCATGCGGTACAGTATAACTGCAAAAGTGCGCGGGGTTAATCAGCCCTGGTATGTACATTTCACGAGGTAGATAAGCTCCTGTTTGATTTGCCTTGTTCCGCTGATTCCCAAACATTTTCGCTCACACACATTTTTTTTGCGGTTCATGACACAACATCTGGATCTTGTGGGTAAGGGCTACGATCTCTCTCTCTGGAGCCAGTCGGACATGATGGACACGGGCCCCTCCCCCCTCCCCCTCCTCATCCGATCCCTATCGGACGGGCCGGACCGAAGGGCCCAGCTACGGGAGATGAAACGTGAGTACCCGTCAAAAAATAAAAGAGAAAAAGAAAAAAAAACGCTGCGTCATTGAAAAGTGAAACGTTTGCTAGGGCGGTCTGAGATTCCATTGGCAAGGCGCAAGGCACAAGCACGTGTCGCACTACAGGTATACACTGTCCTCTTCTCGGTCCTGTTTTTAGCCTGTCATTCTGCTTTGAAAAAGCTATTCAGTAGGCTTATGCAAACGGCCTAGTGTCCGTCCCTCCAGCCGTCCATTCCACTGGAAGGAGAAACTTGAAACTTTCAGGGAATCTTAGTAGGGGGGCAATTCCAGACAGGGGTGTCCGTCAGTGACGGCATTTGTGAGCGACTGAGAGGTGCTACGTATTGTTGCAGTACGTAAGCGTCTTGCAAAGACGCGTCTAGTCATGTGCTTCAACAACCTGTAGAACCTCTCAGTCGCTCACAAATGCCGTCACTAACGGACATTTTTTACCATTTTTTTTTCTGGAATTGCCCAGGGGCCACTCCTGCAGAACGAAATGCCTACGGCGAATCCCTATACACGCATGTAGAGAACTGTGGCGAGCTAGCACGTGACAACAAACGCGGGATGGCACTCCTGGTGATTCTTCCTGATGACGAGGTGGCCCGCCCCCAGCCGGAGAACATAGCGACGCATTTTTTTTGCCGTTGCCAAAGAATCGTGACCGGCTTCAAGGCGGCGAGTGGTGGCAGCGTGTGCCCAGACCGGTCGTTACTTTTTTTTCGGATGCCACAATATTATGGTCCATCCCCCAGATTTGAATCGATTCGCTTCGATGAGCGCGCCGCGGCGCCGCGGCCCGCGGGTTCAAAACAAACACAAACGCGGTCCCCGCCTAGGCCAGGATGCCAAAGGGTTGGCGCCATTTCAAGAAAAACTCGCGGACCGCCGACGCCCACCGACTGCAAAGCTAGCGGCACGCACGCCGGATCGGCCAGATCAGTACGGGTCGTCAGAACAACAAATAAAGCTCAGCGCTTCCCTTATGAACGAGGCACGACGCCGAAGACATTTCAAATTTCGCCTTACAAATATATCAACATGTGTGTAGAAAGCATTAAGTTTGTGCAGCATGCGGGTCTTACGGCTCGCGACCCTCGCGGCATGCTCATATTTGAAAGATTATACAGATGAAGACTCTGACACTCTGTCCGTCAGTGAGGAAGGGGGAGGGGGGGGGCTGAGATAAGGCCGGGCGAGCGGCTAGCCTACCTGCCGGGGGCGCCGCCTCCATGGCGGTGACGTGTTTGGCGGGGCCGGCGGCGGGTGCGGAGCGCGGGGCGGGCGAGCAGTAAAGGCAGTGACCATCGACACGAGACTGGCGGCCTGCTGTGGGCCGGGCCCGGGCCGGACGGGCCTGCACGGTGCGAGCGGCACGGGGAGAGGCAAGGCAAGGCGGGTGCCATCTCGGAACAGAGCGGCCGCAGTGCGGACCGCCCGCCCCGCGCCCCACAGTGTGGGCCCCACACCACCACCCCTCCACAGCATCCCACCTGCCTGCCAGCCTCGGCGGGGCGCCGGTCCAGGGGGTAGGGCTGGCTGGTCCTGGGGAAGGACATAGGTTGGGGGAGGGGCTCGATTGATTTCCGAACGTGGTGTGAGAGATTAACACGTTAAGTCCCAGCATGACGACACGTTTGGTCATTTCAGAACGTAAAATATATTTTACCCAGATAGCCCCCCGCCTTTCCTCTTTATTCACGTACCACCCTTGCTCTGCACACATTGCGGTGGGATGCGGAGGGCCGGTCGCTGCTCCGTCTGTTGTGTCGTTGTTCTTGTCAAGTTGTTGTGTTTGTATTTCTTGTAAATAGCTGTCAGGCAGTTTGCGTGCGCCTGGTCCGCGCTCAAAGCTGCAGCACAGCGACCATGCCGAATCGAGAGTTTTGGGAAGTTCGGCGTCTGAGAAGCTACAACATGCTTTAGGTTTCGGGTGAGTCCGCCTTTTCGCCGTCATCAGAATACACAACAGCAGAAACTACAAGAAGGCGTACAGTGTAAGGACTACGCGACCGTGCCGCTCTGCTGTCGGAGGATAGGAGCCACGACATGTGAATTTTGACTGCAGAATTTGTTTCAAAAATTTGATCTAAGCTGGGAGACGATAAAATGGCATTTACAAGCAGGGGCAGAAGCGCCTGCTGGTTAGGCCATACAATACGCAGTTGTTTGCGTGGTTGCCTACGCTCCGCTGGCAAGGGGCTCTGAAGACTGGATAGGAGAGGGAAGGTCAGGGCTGATGACGTCGGCCCATAAGGCGTGAACAAAGAACAATCGTTTCCTCGGCATTGGCACGTCGAGAAAAGTTGGTAGCACAACTCAAAAAGGGGTGTTCCTCGCTGTTCGGGTCCTGTGGCGTCAGGAGTTGTTAGGCGAAGTTAGCCAAACGCAGTTCAACGTCGTTCTGATCGTATTGAGCGCTCTGCCAGAGTCTTCCCCTCTCGCTTTCTGAGCCAGCTGAGCCGGTGGGAAACGGGGGGGGGGGGTGCACGTTGGGCTGCCTACCCCGCGCGGAGCGGGCGCTGCCATTGCCTCGTGCTGTCGCTCTCGCCCGCGGGCCTGTGTCGTTTCAAGCATGCAGGCCCGATGTCTGACGGAGACACCGATGTCCCCGTGTGCCGTAGGCCACAGACTGGAGAAGGGTGTGGGTGCCTTTGACGCGAGTCTCGACGTCAAATCCAATATGTGCGCTTGAGCTGTCGCGGGGCCTTGGTTGAGGCTCTAGCTGTCCAAAATTTTCAAGGTCTCTTTCTCTTGTTACTATTAGTAAACATTTGACTAAAATCTGAGCAAAATCGTCAGTCTATCCCTAGAAGCCGCTATATTGGAATGATTTGACCTGTCTTGTCTACATAGCCAGTGACCGCGGTCAATCTAGAGTCAGAATCGTTCCTATGGCCAGACACCGAGAGAAAGTGACCATTTCGGTTGTTGTGAAGTTGTTGTTGCTAAGGGTTGTTTGTGTATCTGGCAGGGTAGGGCCTAGCTGGTCGCTGAACGCTGGTAGAACGGCAAGC